CTGAGACCCCCATGCACTCCCTCAGCTCCCCCTCGCCCCTCAGAGCCCTCCTCACCTCCCTCTCACCCCTGAGACCCCCCGAAACCCCCACGCGGCCCTTGAGACCCCCTGAGACCCCCACACAGCCCCTCAGCTCCCCCTCGCCCCTCAGACCTCCATGGCCCCCCCTCAGCCGCCCCTCAGCCCCCCTCGGCCGCTGTGGGTCCCCGCGGTGCCCCCGGCCGTGCTCACCGGCGCCGGCGGCGGCCATGGCGGGGGTCGCGGGGCCGCCCCCTCCTCACTCCGCTCCGCCGAGCCAAGATGGCGGCGCAGGAAAACCTCGGCCGGCCGTGCAGCCCCCCCCGCCCCGGAGGCGGGGCCAGCGCCGCGCCGCGCGCCTATTGGCCCAGCTGGGGGGCGGGGGGCGGGCTGAGAGGGGGATGCGGCGCTGCTATTGGTGTGAATGTCGGGCTGGGGGCGGGGCGGACGGACGGCGCAGACAGTGGGGCGGGGCGAGAGACGCAGGACCCCGCCCCCGGTGGGGCGGGGTGTGTGGAGGGCGTGTCCCTTTGGGGCGTGGTCACTGAGAAGGGCGGGGCTCACTGAGAAGGGATTGGGACTGGAATTGGGTTGGGAATGGGAATGGGATTGGGACTGGGGCGGGAATTAGTGTTTAGACTGGGATCAGAGTGTGGTGGGCGCTGGGACTGGGATTAGGGTTGGGACTGGAGTTCGGGTTCGGTTTGGGATGCGGATCGGGGGGGAATTGAGACTGGGTCTTGTCACGAGACTGTTTGGCGAGAACCAAACAGGCAGCTCAGTTCAGTGCATTTTCCAAGAGTTTTTCCCAGATTATTCCAAAGTAAGACAAGAGCCAGCTCAAAACCCTCTCCCAGGCTGGGAAGGCCTGGTTCTTGCTCTATTTTGGGATAAATCCTCCTCAGCACTTCCCAAAACACCCCATGCCCCAAGGAAGACCCGGAATGGCCTCCAGAGCCTTGTCCCGATGGGAGAAGGGGGTGTGGGGTGGGAATTCGATCCTCTGGTTGTGTCTCCCGGGGACTGGGAGCGTCTGAAAGGTGATGCCAGCACATTCCTGCAGAATTAATGAGGCTCTGGAGCCATCCCGGAGCCGGAGGGGCTGGGACAGGGACCTCGGGGAGGTAAGGATGGAGCTGTTCCGTGGGATGGGGGTCACATCCTGGGGCTTCCCCCTCCCTGGGACCCTCTGGAAAGAGATTGGGGCCAGGTGGGGTCAGGATCTGCTCCCAGGGGACAACAGGATGAGAGGAAATGCTCTCAAGTTGCTCCAGGTGGGGTTTAGGTTGGATATTTGGGAAAATTCCTCCAGGGAAAGGGTGGGCTTTTCCAGCAGTGATGGGCTGGATGATTGGAGAGGTCTTTTCCCACCTTAGCAATTCCACAGTTCCATAATCTGGGCCTCTGGATTTGTTTGCCGTCCTTGGTGCACTCAGGGCTGCTCCTGGCACGCATTTTGGCTTCACAAACACATTAATAAATTAAACAAATATCTGTATTTATTTAAATAGACATACACATTTAAATAAAAGCAAATGTTTATGATAAATATTGTAACTATTGACTTATAAAAATAAGTTATAATACTAAATAATGTATTAGTAATATTAATATGTAATATCTTAGAATACAAGACATTAGTGCACTGTATTATATTGTCTATAAAGCATTAAAATATGTGTGATATACTACGATATATTTTATATAATCATATATAGAATATACTGATTTATAACAATGATATAAGTATTAAATAATATTGAGTATTATAATATTAAATTATTGTAGCAACACCAGTTCTAACGTATATTTAAATAGATATCCATATTTATTTATCCAGATTCCTGGGACACACCTGAGGGTTCCTGGGACACACCTGGGGATCCCTTCCAGCCAGGACTCCCCCACCTGAGGGTCCCTGCATGGAGAGCCCCCCGGTGCCGCCCGCCCTGGACGTGGACAGGGCCGTGGCCACGGCCTTCGTGGTGCTCCTGGGGCTCTTCCTCCTCGCCATGACCGTGCGCTGTGCCCGGCTCGTGGTGGATCCCTACAGCGCCATCCCCACCTCCACCTGGGAGGAGGAGCCCATCAACTGACCCCCTCAAACCCTCCGGGACCCCCAACCCCATCCCCACCTGAAAGGAGGAGCCCATCAACTGACCCCCCCAAACCCCTCGGGACCCCCATCCCCACCTGGGAGGAGGAGCCCATCAACTGACCCCCCCAAACCCCTTGGGACCC